GGACGCACACGTCTGACGACAGTTACATCTATCAGCTGTCGCTCGTTTTAGCGGCAGCTACTATATCTTTATGGCGACAGTTCCCCCATTTTTCGTGGTGAGACGTGTACATCATTTTTCATCGTATGTAGAGTAGATCTACTACGCTGTTCAGTGTATTTTTTCGTACAACTACAACCAGGGTCACACAGGAGGGGGTACACACCAGGGCTTTTTTCTTCTTTTTTTTTTTTTCATGCCCCGCCTTCCTCCTGCGGTGCGTGCTGAATTTTTGTTTATCGCGAGAAGTGTCCGGCCGTCCCTTTCCCTCGTCAGCGGTGCTAACGTCGAAGTTTGGTNCCGCCTTCCTCCTGCGGTGCGTGCTGAATTTTTGTTTATCGCGAGAAGTGTCCGGCCGTCCCTTTCCCTCGTCAGCGGTGCTAACGTCGAAGTTTGGTACTCGCGAACGAGCGCTTGTTAGCTATGTTTCGCGTTCACCCGCAAATTTCGTAAATTTTCACCCCACGGGGATTCGAACTCACGACCTCTGCAACTATCGGATTAGTCTACGAGGATACCACTAGACCACCGGGGCGACCGTCTCCCCCGGTAGTTTGCAATGAATACTCGATCCTCGACTACATCCTGGTAGACAGGGGGAGCACACAGATCCCAGCTGCACGTAGTGCGATAGATATAGGTTCGGCCGACCACTTCCTCATATGGGCAAACATCGACCAACCTAGAAAAAGATGGAGAGCAAGAAACAGAGGAAAGTGTTCGGGTGGAAAGTAGAGCGTTTGGGAGACGAGGGGACACGGGATGAATTCCAGAAGGGACTGGCCGGTAGTGTAGAACCTTTCAGGAAAGTGCTGAGAAGCGTCGAAGACGGACAGACAGGTAGACGTACAAGCAGCAGGGGACAGCGTGATTGAAGGGTGGGAGTCCATGGTGAACGCAATGAATGGCAGAGTAGTGGGAAAGAAGGTGGTACGATGTGGGGTATCGGTTAATTAAGTGGTAAGATGACGGGCTGAAAGAAGAAATAGGGGAACGTAGAGAAGTCTTCAAGCAGTACCTGAGTGAGGCGTCTGAGGAGAGTTGGGAAAAGGACATGGCCAAGAGAAAACAGGTAAAAGGACTAGTGAAAAAGAAGAAAAAGTGCATTTAGGACGAAGTAGTGCACAAGGCCAACGGAGGCCTGGAGGGGAACATCAAGCAGATGTGGGAAGCGATTATTAGTGGAATGGTAGAAAAGACCGCGCAAGGGGGGGATACAGGGGTAGCAACTTTGCGAGGTGTGAACGGTGGATTAGTCAGCAGTGGGAAGGGAAAAAGGGAAGTTCTTCGAGGACACTACAAGAGACTTGGAGTGCCCTCGGAGAATGAATCTTTTGACCAAGTGTTTAAGAAGGAGGTGGACGCATGGGCCCAAAAAGAAGAAGAGACATCGAAGGCAGACGTTGGGAACGTAGAACTAGAAAAGGAGTTCACTGAGGACGAGGTTGAGGCGTGTGTGAACAAGCTGAAGTGCCACAAAGCAGCAGGAGCGGATGGGATAGTCAACGAGTTCATGAAGTTTGGGGGGAAGGGGATGATCCAGCTGATGGTACTGCTATGCAATTGGGTGTGGAAAAACGAGTACATGCCAAGTAGACGGAGGGAAGGAGTAGTTGTGAACTTGTTTCAGAAAGGAGACAAGACTGACCCAGGAAAATACAGGGGGATCACACTGTTGAACACAGTAGGAAAAAAAGTGTTCTGTAAGCTGCTGCTGAACGATAGGATATTGGGAGTATTGGAGACCATAGCATTAGTGAGATGATTTCGTCGGTATGTCGGACACCCATGAGGGACTACAACTGCAAATTGACGCGGCGAAGAAGTTTACTGATAAGTGGAGATTGTCTGCCAACGTTAAGAAGAGTGCCGTCATGGTATGCAACGAGAACAAGGAGGAACCAGTAGAACATAGATGGAAGTGGGGGATCGAGGAGATTGCAGTAGTGGACCAGTACACATACCTCGGAGTAGAGATCGCAAAAGACTGCTCGTGGAATGCACACATGTCCAAGGTAGCGGAAAAGGGCAAAGCACGAGCAGGGAAGCTGCATCCAATACTCGCAAACCGGCACCTCGATACACGCATCAAATTGACGGTTTTGAAGAGCGTAATCGTACCGCCGCTGGATTACGCCGGAGAATATGGGAAGGAAATAAGAAGGTAGTGAAAGAACTCGAGGCAGCGCAGATTACGTACAGGGAGATGTTTGAGGCATGGAATAGAGAGGAAAGGACGGTAGCTGTACTGGGGCATAGGAGGTGGTTTGAAAAGGCGAGAAGGGATATAGTTAGGATAGACAGACTAGGGAAGATATTTTTGAGCCACCTTTGACAAAGTAGAAAGGAACGATGGGCCATCGGTGATCGGTCCTGCGGGAACAATGCTCCGCCCTCCCGAGGACGCGTGGTCAATGGTCTAACCGCTAAGGCATGCAAAGCATATGAATACGCCCCCCCATCACCTTGTCGGCCTGGAAGCATGGTTCCGTTGATTGAGCGCCGGGGTAGATCGTTCTCGACCAAAAAAAACACCCCCTCGGGTATTTCAATTTTCCCCCGCGGTACCAGTTTCCCACGAGTTCCCCCCGGGCAAATATTTCCCTTATTTTCTGAGTCGGTTTTGTTGCATCGCTGAGCACAAAAAGAATGGTATGGGACGGAAAATTGATTTGCAGATCTGCGCTTCGAGCGAGATTTAGGTGAACCGTTTATCACGTGGCCCTCGCAGTTGTTTCATGGATGGAATGCTCGCGTTTTCCTGTCTATTCCTTGCATGTATCATCTCTGGAGTCAGCTGAAACGTACCACAACACGCTGGCGAAACCTTGCGCTCAAAGGACACAAATAATCGTATTCATTTTGGATCTCATAACTCAAGGTAGAACCGAACCATAAAATTAGCTTATCCCTGCGGACAAACTGTGAAATTGTTGTGCATGAGCGTAGGCAACGGTACCTCTCTTCTTGCGACCCGACAACAATCCTTATCCATCTCAGTTTCGCCACTCTCTCTGTGTGTGGTGTGTGGCCCATCAATATTTTGCAAAAACCCCGGGGGGGGGGGCTTCCCCCGGGGTAGCGTTGGGAAGAAAAAAAAAACTAACCCTCCCCGGTACATAAGTTTTCCCCCGGGGGGGTTGGTTTCAGAAAAAAAAACGATCCCCTCCTGTGGAAGCCAGGATACTCGTATCTTCATATACTAACACACACATACGAAGGGAGTAAAGAACCTTCGACAGACGATAGTTCATCGCACTCTGTGGGTTTTTTGCTCCGACAGGAGTCGGGGTGAATCTTTATGGTTGGTACCGAGAGCCAAGGAGGGTCTCGGCCAACGCCCACTCGCAACCTTACCCTAGCCTTGACCGAGCACGCTCGGTCACCGCTAGACATTACTCGTCACATCTCAACAGAGGAAACTGGCCTGCCTCCGGTGGTAGGCATAGACCACCTCGCTATGTTGGGACCTCAGCTCACTCGGAGTTGAGGGCATTCACTTTTAATAATGTGAATTTACAGTATTCTCCTGTGTTTGATCTAGAGAATGACTTGTACGCAACTAGGTCAACCGATATCCGTTCAAACGGTCGCTGGACAGGACGACGGTGGGGTGTTTTCCTGCATTGACATGCTTGGCATCGCTGACACCAGTTACGGATATCACGAGGCATTGACGGCCACCAGTATTTCTGTCTGATTTTTTCGTATGTCGGTCGGAAAGCTAGATGCCCACCCGAAAGCGCATGATCACGACAAGCGTGCATTACCAGATCCGTGAGATCTTGCGGCAATACCAGCTGACCAATGAACGTGCTCCGTTTGGGAATATGTCCAGGCAAGTACGACTTAAACAGTAATCCGTCCTGTATTGAGTAGCATGACATTGTCGTTAGCAGACTTACGGGAAAAATGGGAACGTATCCAAAAATGAGAATGGGCGTTTGTTTTTAGAAAGCAAACCACGCCTTTGCAACTCCCCCCAAAAAAGTTGACAGTGCTGTAGGTCTTTACAGCAGCTTTCGAATGAGCTGCTGCTCAAGCTGTATGTCCTCGGCATCGCCGAGGTAGCCAGCATCGCGAGAAATCAGATCGAAACCAGCACGAATCGCTTTTTGCGCCCGTGAGAAGGCGTGAAGTGGAGCATGGCGGTTCTGATGAGCTCATCTCACAGCTGGGGCGAAGGGGTTTCGCAGGATAATTTTGGTTCTGTGATACACCCGATGGTTCTGAAGAAAAACGCCAATTCTCATTTTTGGGTACGTTCCCATTTTTCCCGCAAGTCTGTTCGTTGCTGTTTCTCTGATTGGGAGAGGCGCATTATCGTGAAGGATGTAGTCGATCTACTTGTATTATTTACGTTGCTTCTCGCGCAGCTTGGCATGGTCAGCAGACTGAAACACCCGTGTAGTGCTGACAGTGAACAACTCCCTATCGCTGCGGACAGGTTGGACGTCGTTTAGTATATCTGCTGACACTTGGTGAGGTCTGTAAGGCATGGCCGTTTGGAGCTTCGGATCATCTGGTACGTTGAGGCAAATCGGAGCAAGAGGTGGTACCTCGCGTGCTTGTTCATTTTCAAAAAGGAAAAGACTCGATCACGTGTCGGGTACAACATTTAGTTTTCCTGGTTTATGCTGAACGCTTAAGTCGAAGGATTGCAGTGCAATTGCCCAACGTGTAAGTATATTTGACGTGTCTTGCATCGTGTAGAGATACCTTCGCGCTGCGTGGTCTGTGACGCACGTAAATTGTCGACCCCATAGGTACGGCCTTCAACGTGGAATTGCCAATACTACAGCGTAATACTCCTTCATGGTTGCGGAATAGTGTCGTTGGCTTGGGTTGAAGCGCTGGCTAAAGTAAGCAATGATATTCAGGTCTTCACCATTCTTCTGGGCTAGGAAGGCTCCTGCACCAGTTTCAGATGCATCGACATGAAACACGAATTCTTTAGAGAAATCTGGAAAATGTAAGACAGGTGCTTTCGTAAGCAGACGCTTTATTTCGGCGAATGCTTTATCATGTTCCGGACCCCAGCGTTTCGAGACCGATTTAACTGCTTCGTTTTTCGTGAGGTCAACCAAGGGCGCGGTGATGGCGGCTAGGTTCGGTGTGAATTTCCTGGCATAGTTCACCATACCTAACACTGGACGTAGTTCTTTGATGTTCGTGGGTGTAGGTAAATCTAGAACGGCTTTGATCCGATCCTCACCAAGGCGTATCCCATCGGCAGATAGGATGTGTCCCAAGTATTTCACCTCTTTGGGTCCGACTTGTACCTTTGAAGGTTTCAAGGTGAACCCCCCTGCCTGTAAAGCCTTGGAAGTGTTTTCCAGCAAGGATAAATGACTTCCCCATGTTGTTGATGAACAACAGATATAGTCATCCATGTATGTATACAAGAAGGCCTGATTACGGTCCAAAGTGAGCAATAGCTAAAGCCATACAATAGTGCGTTGGAATAAAAATGGTGCATTGGCACTTCCGAAAGGAAGGCGTGTAAAGACCAATTTTCCATTCCGTGTTACAAAAGCGGTTTTGACTTGCTCTGCTTTATCGGTGATGGGTAGCTGGTGGTATGCGCTCTGAACATCACAGACAGTGATGTATTTCGCGCCTGCAACGCTGTCAATGTGGCTAGCCATTCCGGCATGGGCCATGATTTTCGGATTACGTGTTTGTTGACCGTGGTCCGGTAGTCTACACAGAACCGGGGTGTACCATCAGCTGTGGCTACTAGCGTTACTGCGGAACCCCAGGGGCTCGCTCTTTGTTCAACGATCCCTGCTTCCTCCATATCGTGCACACACTTGTCAATTACCTCTTGTACACGCAGACTCGCGGGGTAAGGAGCTCTGTTGACAGGGAGTGTACCCGGCTCTAGGGGAAAGTCGGCTTCTATGAGAGTGCATTTACCTGGCTCACTGGGACTTAGTGAGAAGACGGCGGTAGCCTGTTCACAGTTGTAACACTTGCTCACGTTGTTCCTCGGACAAGGTGGTATTGCGCGAAAGCTTTCGTGAGAGCTTTTTCCAAGTCTTTGCGGTGTTTCGCGGCTTCGTCAGGGCTCGATTGTACGCTACTTACTGTCTGCGGAAGTACCGACTTGACAGGAGAGATGTATCCTACTAACATTTTCGCTGGCAAACGTGCTAGTCGGTTAGATGGGTTGGCGATTTGAACCACTGCTCCCTTCGTGTTGGACTAATGACACACCGTACGAGCAACGACTATCCGATGGAAAGTCTGTGGCGTATCCGGTGAGGCGATGTCCTCCGAGGTGATGATGCGCGGTTCTACCAAGGCAGTGCAGGGGGTGCCACCGTTGAGTGGATTTCGAAAGTTGTTTCGCTGCGTGCCGGTATGCAACATTCTTGTTGAAATGAACCGGAACTGGTTCTGCTTCGCCGTCTTGTACTACTATCGAGTAGTTGTCTTCACCCGATGTATTGGTTGTTGGGTTTCAAGTTCTGCGGTGTCTTGCTGGAATAGTGCAGTTTGATTACTTGAAAGACAATGTTTCTGCTTGCCAATCAAACACTCCGCCAAATGCTCCCATGATGCTGTTGTCTAACAACATGTTATCGGGGCCCAACGATGATAGTACTAAGGTTTCTACCGCTAGGGTGATATCTCCTAGAATGAGATTGAATCGAGTATCCCTTGATTTTGAGGGGAGAGTTGTCTACGCTACGCAGGTTGATTACTCCGCGGGGAACTGGAAAATTATTCACGTGTTTGAGCGCGTTGTGACGTCGCATAAATGCTGCTGAAATACACGGAATGCCACATACATGCCGTGTCAACCTTGATGTGATCGACGGGGCGATTATTCATTCTGGCGGCTACACGTACGCGCGTGGAGGACGCGGTAAACACCGAGGGGTATTCAGGGTATCCCGCAAGTGCCGATGCACAAAAACAAGCAGAAAAATCATTATTATGCAAGTCAGAAGGCATGAGACGCGATCTATGCTTCGACTGTACAACGCCGTCTACGGTAGCTACGTATTATGCTTGTGGCGCGAAGGCCCGCGAACGTTTACTGCGCTTGGCTACGTGTATTGCTTCTGTGCTACGTGGTGTATCGGCAGTGGTGTCAACTGTGACAGTGTAGCTGGTCTGAGTGTTTTGCGATTGTTGGTTGCAAGTCCGTACGCAAGTGGACTCAGATGCTGCTTCGGGAACTGTACTACGAGTAACCTCATCTACTTGTTCTACCACCAGAGGCTGGACATGTTTTGGGTGATGCCCAGGATTTTTCTCGTCTACTCTTTCTCGCTCTGCTACTGCTGTTGAGTCTCTAGACGTGTCTCCCGAACAGGCCGAGGAATGGTGCCCATCTGGGCCATCCTCTCCCTGCTTCGAACTTCTTTCGACAACCACGCGGCCACTCTTTCTGTCCCGTTGTTCTGTACGCCATTCCTGCCGTGAATGCGTGAACCGTTTGCTTTTCCCTGCACATCCAGGGTACGTGCACTCTACGCCCCCCGTCTTACTGCTACCGTCAGATGAAGTGTCAGTGTCAAACACAAGCTTCTTCTTCTGGTTGCGATTGTTAGGGGTTCGCTCAGCGTACGACGACCCCCGCTTGTGGGTGGAAAGCCCCCGACTGTGACTACGGCCGCGTTATGCGCTGGAGACATGGCTGTCCTCGTTGGTGCTCATTTGTTGTACAAGTTGGGTGACCCTGTTCTCGAGTGCGCCCGCTTGAATTTTCAGCTGCGGTGGTAGTGTGGAATCGAGAAGGGAAGATACCGAGGCGGTTGATTGATGGTTTGCTGAACGCAGTTGGTTCGCTTCATGTTTGCTGGTACGCATTTTAGAAGTCATGAACGTTTGCGACGCGTCCTCTCTAATCATATCTGCCCTGATGTCTGGTGGTAAACCGTTCAAAAACGACAATGAGTGCTTTGTCAAGTGCGTCTTCGTGAGCAGACATGTTGGGTGGCGCGATCCGTTCGGCTTCGGCAAGAAGTTAAGAGTAGGTTCGTGAGACTCTAGTCGAAAATAAATCGACACTTTCGTTAGGCTTCGCTTGGAGCGTCATGGCCTCGCGTGCGAGAAGCGCGATTCTGTTCGCGGGCGCAAAGAGAGTAGTCATAGCATTAACCCATTGTTTCCAGGTTTTCGGAGGAGAGATGATGACTTGTTCACTTCGTGCACGAATGCGACTACTTGCTGATCCGGCCGCCACTCTAGGCTTGAGCTTAGAATGAGATCAAGCGTTTGCGCCGCGGCGCCTTTCGTTATGAGGCGTAAGTTCTTGATAGCCCTACCGTCGATGTTGTCATCCGAGGTATTTTCGGGCAGTGAGAGGCGAACGTGTGTGCGATACTGCCCCATGATTTCGGGTACATCTTCCGATGGGAGACCCTCAAGTTTCAGAGTTGACGGAAACTCGGAACCTTTGAGAGCGCGAAAAGTATCTTGAATTGCGCGATTGCGTTGCTCGTGTGTGTGAGTGGCGAGATCTTTCGGCTTCGTTTGTGACACGTCTTCACTTTGCTGGAGTGAAGGTGCTACATTCGTTTGCTGTTGTTGTGACCCATTTCCACCTTGCTGGGGTGAAGATGCTACGCGCTGCTGCTGCTGCTGCTGCTGCTGCTGCTGCTGCTGGGGTGAGACAACTTGCTGAATGATCGAAGTGTCAACGGAACGATCGGCAGAAAAATCGGGCTCGAAACGGTGTGGTTTCACCTGGGTGATTGCTGTGGTTTGCACCGGTGTTCACATGGCGAGACTCATGATTCAGTCATCCGGCTTGACCTTGTTGTCTCTGACTTCCCCCAAGCTCTCCACGATAAACGGTCCCAGAAGTTGCGTGATGGAAGCAGAAGGCGAGGACTCGGTGTCGGTGGATTGCGGGAGTTGGCCGAGGACATTGGAGAGCAGTGCGCGAGTGGAATCGGTCGGACGGTTTTCTCCGTCTTCCCGGCTTCCATCGGCTGGGTCATCCTGCGCGTCCCCGGCAAGCGCGGAGTAATGGTTGTCAGGATCCACCCCTCCGCCCCCGGAGCTGCCACCTCCATTGCTGGAGCTGCCACCCCCAGCGTTGGAGTTGCCACCTCCATTTTTGGGGTTGACACTTTTTTCAGCGCCGTCGTGCGACGCTAGCATAGTCTTTCGAGCCGGGTGACGAAGAGTCAACGTTGGCAAGGGGTCCTTTACCGTTGCTGGACGATTTCTTGCCCGAATACTGCTGAGACTGCTGTGGCGGCTGCTGTGCAGGCTTGAGTTTGAGTTTGGCTGAGGAAGTCTGAGGAGCACCGCTACCGGCGGCGTGCCCGCCTGCTGGTTCGGACCGGCCTTGTTGTCTTTCCTCCTCTGATTATTGCCCATGTTGGAAAAATGGGTGAACAGAGGAAAAAACACACAGAGACCGGTCTTCGTCGAAGACAATGTGAATGCCCTCAACTCCGAGTGAGCTGAGGTCCCAACATAGCGAGGTGGTCTATGCCTACCACCGGAGGCAGGCCAGTTTCCTCTGTTGAGATGTGACGAGTAATGTCTAGCGGTGACCGAGCGTGCTCGGTCAAGGCTAGGGTAAGGTTGCGAGTGGGCGTTGGCCGAGACCCTTCTTGGCTCTCGGTACCAACCATAAAGACCAACCCCGACTCCTGTCGAAGCAAAAAACCCACAGAGTAAAGATCCAGAGTAGAGCGATGAATTATCGTCTGTCGAAGGTTCTGTACTCCGTATGTGTGTGTTAGGATATGAAGATACGAATATCCTGGCTCCAACATATTACCACCTCGCCATATTGGGACCTCAGCTCACACGGAGTTGAGGGCATTCACACCTCCCCGGGGGGAAACTCCGTAGCTTACGGTAGTTTGTTTCCGTTCGAATCCGCCATTTCAGTCCAAAGGCCGTCACAACTCTCTGCGGTTGTAACTTCATGTTTTTGGGTTACATCTTACCAGATGTTACCAACAACCTCTACTTTTTACTACAAAAAAAACTGCTATGTGTACAGCAGCATTAGACCAGTTTGGTTTGGTCAACAAGATGACCCGAACCGCAATATTAACCACTCGGCCTCGGTCTTAACGAAGTAGAGAGCCGCAACGGCGGGAATCAAGGTGTTCTTGTTGGATCGGTTGCTGGTATCGTCCGGCTCTTTCCTGAGGAAGGGTCTTCACAGGAGGGCGTTTGGATTTCTGCACCTGCATCGCCACGCACGGTGTACGTTGAGAATGCAAGCTGGAAAGCCATTCCAACCGTTGGACTGGCTCTCACTGGGTAGCTCTGCCGGGCTTGCCCGCACCGTGTCATCGTCGTTTGCACGCTTGCAGCTCCAGCAGTTTCATCTCTTGGGGGCACGTTTTGCGCCCAGTGTTCTTCGCCTATTTTACCTCGCATAGAATGATATGGATGTCTCCTCCTTTTGAGTCCTCGACAAGGCGGGGTGCTGGGGTACGCGGGGGAGAACTATGCATCCATGAAGTCTTCCAGTGTAGATGCTTCGTAGAGGAGCAAGAGAGTGCAGAATTGCAGGTCAAGTCGCGGGGTCGGGTTCAACAGGAAAGTGTCACTGCGTTTACCTGTGCTTGGAGAGAAAGCGCTGCTAAACAGGGGCAAACGCAGAACAAGCACCTTTCCCACAGATGAAAGGAGGCACCGTGGGCAAGCTAGGGTGTGTGGGTTAGAAGGTCTCGCTCTCAAGAGAAACAACACCTTGAAAGCCTCATATTTATGCTACAACGCAGTATGATAGCCTTGTGCTAGAACCAGCGTAGCCGCATTTCCTGTCAAGGGCTTCGACGATCCAAAGGTGAGAGTGAAGAAATAAGACAAAACAATATCTCCGCTGGAGCTGGCAGCACCGAGCGATGATCTTGTGTAGCATCTCTGGCTGGCCGCACCTCTATTTAGCTGCATCGCGTTCTTGCGGAATCAAGTAAACTCCCAGCGAATATATATGTCGACCACTTCATCTTCCCATCCGCCGTATAGGTAGATCCAGGACTCCGCCTTGTTTCTGACGGCTGCTCATTCTTCACCTCGACAAACAGCCGTTCTTGGCGCTTGGGGCAGAACTCAGCGATCTTGCTCACGGCCATTCCAAAGCTTGGTCGCGCGTCTTACAAAGTTCGTCCTCGGTTTCTGTCTAAGCTTTGGTAGCAGCAGCTGCAGCTGTAGAACACTTCACGAAGTGATTGCGAGGGGTGAGCAGGCTGTCGATTCACAAAAACACAAAACATACGTACAAACTGTCCTATTATGTTGTCGCCACTCTATGCGTTGCTGTCATCGTCTTTGTTCGGAACGAAGGGCGACTCCCCACAGTCCAGCTCCTCAAACCTCTCACTCTCACCTCGATTATCGCCTCTAGCTTATCTCTCTTGCCTCAACCACTACCACTAGCGACGGGGCCCACTGGCCACTAGCCACTGACCGGTCGCCCCGGTGGTCTAGTGGTATCCTCGTTATCCGCTAGTCGCAGTGGTCGTGAGTTCGAATCCCCATGGGATGAAGAACTTACGAAATTTGCGGGTGAAAGCGAAATATAGCTAAAAAGCGCTCGTTCGTGAGTACCAAACTTCGACGTTAGCACCGCTGACGAGGGAAAGGGACGGCCGGACCCTTCTCGCGATAAAAATAAAATTCCGCACGCACCGCAGGAGGAAGGTGGGGCATGACAACAAGTAAAACGAAGAAAAAAAAAACTGGTGTGCCGAAGCAGGGCCAAGGCGGTAACCTTGCCGCTACTCAGCAGACTGCAAAAAGCGAAAAATCAAAATCAATTGAACGCAAGAATCAAGCAACACGACCTAAACCAACAACGCCAGTGTAATGGTATTTAACCCCTTCCTTCAGAATCAATCACCTTAGAGCTGTGTGGAACTCTCTTGTCCGACCACAGTAGCAGGTTGTTGTTGCTTTCCGTTGTTCTCTTTCTCTTGATTAACGCTTTCCAAGCCAACTCACAATATCCCGCGCACACACGATCAGAGATCGCCTGCACGCACACACACGCACACTGAACAGAAGGGCACATGTCTCGGCATAAAGCCCTGATCTAGCATGACGTCACGTCTTAGCATCCGACGGCGCCAAATAACCATGGTCAAACACGATCACAAGTCTACCTCCAAATACCATAACATGACCCCCTCCTGTGTGGCCCTGGATGGTTGTAGTTGTACGAAGAAATACACTGAAAAGTGTAGTACATGCCTCACCACGAAAAATGGGGGGACTGTCGCCAAAATAAATAGGACGAAAACACGCACACACACGAGATACTACTGCGTGAGTGCCATATGCCCATCGCCGTTGAGGATTCTTCCCCTTTTACCACAGGCACTGGTAGGGGAAAGGGGCTATACAAGATGGATTTGGTGATCCCCCCAGGATTGCACGCAGGAGAGAAGAAAGAGGAACTCTGCACCAAGTCCATTCTTATAGACGTAACAATCGTCAACCCATCCGCAGGTCGAAGCATCGACAAGTCGATACAAAAGCCAGGATCCGCCTTCGAAGATCGAGCCGCAAGTAAGGCAAATCACTATTATTCGACGACTTTCAACCCGTCTGGATCTACCCTCCTTACTGCTGCTTTTTCAACGAATGGTGGTCTTGGCAAAGGCACCAATCGACTCATCGTTGCTATCGCCAACCACTTGGCGCACGAAGCTTTTTGCCGGGGGAATTTTGACGACGAAAGAGCGTTGGTCCGCCTGAAAGCCATTCGTACTTGCAGGATTCGGAGACGGTTTACCTTCGAGCTAGCTCGTTTTCTGTCCATGCGAACTCGCGATGTGTTCAAACGTCACGGGCTACTGATCGACCAACTTTCACCAGAGCCAATCGGTTGGGATCTCTGCGACAACGATAGTAATGAGGGTGATTCTTTTGGGAGTGATGAAGACGAAGGAAAGAAAAAGGGAAGAAGAAAGGAGGATGAAGACGACGATGGAGGAGGAAAACATGGACGAGTGGAAGAGAGCAAAGGATTTGAGCCAGATGACCTTTCTCCAAAAGAAAAAACGTAGGACTAGGGAAGAACTGCCCAGCGATTATTGTCAAAATGAGGATCAGAATGATGGTAGCGAACACAAGGAAGATAATGGTGAAAGTACTCCAAAACGAACCCGAGTACAAGGTAGTAGCCTTGGTAGACACGTGGAGTTTTCTTCTGTTGCTGCTGTTTCTGTCTTTGATCCGAAGGATTATTGTTTAGCCTCCCCCATGCTGCCCCCTCACGGGGTCCCAGTTCATGGCAGATAAAAGTGTTAGCGTTTTCAACCGCACTGAGACTGATGTACTTTCATTGGTCAGCCGGTTAGCGCGGTCGATGCTAATAATAGAAACACACACACAAACTGCTAGCCACCTCTCTTCGTCCTGCAGCTCTCGTCCTGGTCAAAAACAGAACAGGTCAGAATCGCGGGCAGAAGAAGAACCGAACCAAGAAAAGCCTTCCTGAAAAATTCTCGAGTTTGGTTCGGTACTCCCTCAGGTTTGCGTCGCCCCTTGCCGCTTCCCGGCCCGTGCTCCAGCTACAGCAGTACGTCTTGAGTCTCCTCCCCACGCAACTCTCTCTGAGATAGCAACATGCCCTCTGAATCGTGGCCAGAACAATTGGAGGGGGTGAAACGCAACGGCGCATCAATCTTGAAGAAACCCTGCGTCCGCAACGCACTCATGGCAGGCATTGGGACAGGAACCCTGATGGGCATCCATAAGTTTCGAGTTGGAAGTGAGTATGTTGATGTTCACAGCCGCGGTTGGATGCGTGTGTCATGTTTCGTCCATGTTCTGGGCGTCAGTCTGTACCTTTCGGTATAGATGAAAGTCTCAGCCGGGGTTGTACTCAGAGGGTTGCTTTTTCTCCGCTTTCCTTTTGTGGCACTTTCAACAGCGAGCGGTACATATTTACCAGTACATTCAGCAGTAGCAGCGCCCGAACACGCCTACCTAGAATCACGGCTCAGCAGGTCGCCCCGGTGATCTAGTGGGTAACCTCGCAGCCTGCTAAGGGCCAGGTCATGGGTTCGAGTCCCGGCAGAGAGTGAGTTTTTTTCTCACTAAATAAATCCTGGTCCAGGATGAAAGCGACGCGCTGCAAAGCTTGTTGTCAGTAAACCATAATCGACTTCGTAAGTCGCGAGCGAAGGGATTGCTGTACCCTTCTCGCGATAAAAATACCTCAGGCATGAACCGCAGGAGGGGGTCCAGCCCCCCCCTCCTATGTGACCCCGGTTGGGTCGTCTAGCTAGTAGAAGTGGAGGATAGGGGCCAGAGGGGCAGACGACAGAGTCCAATGATGGGAGAAAAAAAAAAAAAGTCTACACCTGCCCACCAGCGTCCTCCACGCCGATAGCAAGTGTTATGACGTGTTTTACGTGTGAAGACTAGGCTTCCCTCGATCGAAAAAGACCGACAGGTCGCAGGTCGACGTAGTTTATTTATAAAGGTCTCAGAAGAGGAAGAGAGAGTGCCACGGCAGGGGAGAGGAAAGGGAGGACCGAAGGCCTCTCATTCCCATCTACGCGGGTGGCGCTTAAAAGGTCGCATCCGTTAGTCGGGTTTCTTGTTGCTCAACCATCAGCAAGATACCTATCTTTCGTACTTTTTGTGTGCAGGCATGGTCACCACGCCTCCACCCCTCTCCTCCACATTTTTTTTTCTCTCCCATCATTGGACTCTGTCGTCTGCCCCTCTGGCCCCTATCCTCCACTTCTACTAGCTAAACGACCCAACCGGGGTCACATAGGAGGGGGGGGCTGGACCCCCTCCTGCGGTTCCTGTCCTCCACATGTAGGCGGCTTACTGCCTTGTGTACTGCTTTAGTCTAGCCTAGAAATTATTGTAGATACGCACATGCAAGGTGCAGCAAATGCAATATATCGACCTCCGTACAAGGAGCGTATTACATTTCGAGCGTACAGGCGTGTACGAAGTACGTTGTATGCCGAGTTTTCTCTGTGTGCATGGTCACAGTTGTGCACGAGCTACTTGGCACCCACAGGACCTCCTGGAGCAAACTGAAGAGGGTAGTCCTGATGTTGATGAGTTTTTGTAGGAGAGCGTGATAGCCACCAGACGAACGTGTGGTGTTCGTGCTTACGTAGACTGCCTCTCTTTCCAAGAATTTTCTGCATGTCCGTGCCACTCACTCATCAACCGCGCTCGCTACGAAAACATTCGCCGCCCCGGCGTACGCACGTTCGGCACCCCTGCAGAGACGGTGCCGCAAGCATGTGCGGCCTGGGGTTACACCCTTGTGCTGGGCTCTTGCATACACATGTGAGTGAGTTTGACAGTGACAGCGTGCGAGTAGTACAAACTGTCGCCGGGTTTCTACAAGCAGTATACGGTACCTGCCGCTTCTAGGTTGCGTTTGTTACTTACGCAGGAGCCTTGTGCGGGCGGGTTTTCCAACCGAGAAGAGGTTTTGCTTTCGTGCCGTGTTGCCTTTGCTTGAGCAGGTAGAAGGGTTCAATCTGTTGTACGGTTTATTCGACTTACAGCAGTGACCACGGGTTGAAGTAAGCGGCACTAGTGCCGCGAGCACTGATTTGAAGTGAAGAAAAAAGAAAGAAGAAAGAAGAAAGTAGATCGCGCGGTGCAACAGTTGGCGCTAATAGCACGGCAGCAGTTGACAATGGTAGCAACAAAGTGGCCTTAACCGTCTCTTTCCCCGTCCATGTCTGACTTTCGCTCTCATGCGCTCCACAGGATGGCCTGCACCTACCAACTCAGAAGAAAGTACGAAGACGTGGAACGTCAAATGGCAATGTCTGGTGCCATTCACGCGAGCAAAGCACCCGAGCTGCGATAAAGTCAGAACCCGTGCTGCCTGTTCACCCCAATATTGCGTCAGCATAGTAACACCACGGGCCTCTCTCCTTTAGAATCCGATACTCGGGCCCCTCAGGCTTGCCTTTTCTGTGTGCTGGCGTCAAAATGGAAATCTGGTGGAATCTGCCATCCGCCTTCTGTGGCTGAACACTGCTCTTGGAGCTCTCTTTCGTGATCCCATGCGGCTGGATAACCGCTGGACAACCGGCGTGTGTGCGGGGGGTGCTTTCATGTGAACCTATGTAAAGCCGATTCGTGTTGGTGTGGGCTAGTGGGAGAATCAGCGTGGGCTCCTTATCGTTACGGCGGGGCTTACTGTTATCGAGGCCAGCGGGTCGCGACAGGCGTACATGCCGCGCAATTTGTCCCTCAAGGCACGACTGATTGGGGGGGCTTCAACGGGAAATGGGCGAGGTCCGTACTAGGTAACTGCCGCCAAACTCTCTCTCTATCTCCCTCTGTCTCCCTCTCTCTCCCTCCCCCCCTCCCTCTCTTTTCCTTGCTATCTTGTCTCTGTGGTCCTTTAAACCCAAGTCCGCTCCCTTCACGTTTGGGCCTGCATCACGTCTTCTATGCATACACCAAGGCATGGCCAGCTACACAGACAGGTGCCCTATACCCTAAACCCCCCGTCGCCGCGTACCACCAAGCACGACCCTCGCGCTTCAGAGCAAATGCGCTGGTGAAGAGATGATAAAAGGCGGAGGAGAAATGCCCCAACACGCAATGATTGCATGCAACTTTGTGTGGTGAACGCGATATACCCGCATCCATCCGTACGCAAGTAAGAGCTCGTGCGTTTGCAAGCGAACAGCACAAGTAATCGAATGCTACCCGTCCCCGGCAAATAAACTCAAATACGAATATCGCCACAAACCCATCATCCAACAGCAACAAGGCTGAGGAAACACACATATTTTCCTTCAACTGCTGCTGCTGCTGCTGCCTGTTGCTGCCGTGCTTTCCGCACCTTGTGCTTATGTACAACCCCGACCTGTGCCGGACAACGAAACAGGATTGGATGTAGTACCCCACACACACGCCCACCCGCACCCCCCACTATCAAAATGACGTACGCAACCAACACCCACCAAAACGCAAGGTCGAGGACGTCGTCCAACCCAAACAAGACGAGCACGAAAATCTTTCATCAGCCTTGGCTTTCCCCCTAAAATAACTAATGATAAGGCATGCACACTGGCTTCGCCTTAAAACACTACCCTCTCGGCTATTCGGGCCCACGCTAAGACTACACGAACAAACTTTTTTTTCCTCTAAAACTTTACCAGCGAACCAACGACGATCCCTTCCGGCCCGCCCTCAACATCCATCCCCCCCCCCGGTTGTGGGGCGGCGTGATTTTTTTCCGTCGCTTACCCGGCAGATATCCATCACCCGTCCGTCGCGTGTTGCACAAACCCCCGGTTCCACCAACACACCTTCCAAGCCTCTCCACAACAGTAGGAACTCCTGCCCCCAAACACCCGAGCTAAGTGCGACTAGTCTAGGCACACGCATTTCTCTCTCCCCCCCCCCCCCCCCCCCCCCCCCCCCCCCCCCCCCCCCCCCCCC